TAAATAGATAATTTATTATAATTATTTATTGAGAAATTTAGCAGCAATTTAAAAAAAAAACAACTGCAAAACGTCAAGGTTTATTAATTTATAGACTTAAATTTCAGTACAATGATGACAAAAAAATAATTTTATAAATTAACAAATAAATTAGTTTCTGCACCTTCATCAATAAATAAAATGTTTACTTAGTTTTAAATAAGAATTATCATATATTAAAAAAAAAAAATTTATTTATTAAACGCTTTTATTTCTATTTTAAAAATACTTAAAAATGACATTTTTTCAACACTAAATCAACATAGTATTGTTATAAAATAAATAGAATTTTAATTAATCTATCATTTCAACTGTTTAACTTATCAGTTTTATTCGAAAACGTCGATTTATTAATCCAATAATGTATTACAAAATTTTTATCATGATGTATCTAACTACTAGTTTTACAAACGCATTTCTTTTCAAATTTCCACCTTTGGACGAGCAGGTAAAACGATATTATTTAATTTTTTATAAAAATAAATTGTTAAATGTTCTCTAATTAGAAAATTTATTTTGAGGAATAAATAAGTTTTTATTAAGATGTAGATTATTTTTTATTTTATCTTATATCTATAGTACATTTTTACACAAGGCATCAAATTTAATTCAAATTTGAGTTTAGAATAAAAAACAAATTTGCCATGATTTTTATTCAAGAATCAAACTTTATGAATATAGTTAGTAATGCGATATTTAAAATGTAGCTCATATTTTAATTTAATATTATGGTTCCATACCAAAATAATAAAAACATTAGAGGGTTTTAATTTTTTTTTTTTAATAAAAGGAGTGCTTTTTCATTTAAATGGGAATTTTTCCAAAACTGATTTCAGTCTTTTTCTTTTTGATTTAACTATCTCATAAAAAAAACGGTAGCAAGTATAGATGATTAGTGGTTCTATCATTTATATGTATTATATATAAATACATTTTTGTTACTTATGTATAAATACACTGGTCTACAAGGAATCAGAGACCAGAATATACTTTTCTAAACCATTTTGTGCCGATATAAAATTAACAATTAGATTTTTTCTATCACATCTTTTTGATATTATTACTAATTAATAAACAACGAGTAATTGCATATAAAAAAAAAAAATTAAATGCAAATAAAAAATTTTGTAAGCTTATGTGAAAAGTTCAATATTTAGTAAAAAACACTATTTTTTTTGCATTTTT